TGGTGCTATGTAAATCTATGTATTCATAACTATTGTATTTAAAAATTATATCGCCATTATGCCAACAAACATGATGGTATCCTAAATTATTATGTAAGATCATACAGTTATACTTTGTTCTGTCGTGAGATTAAATAATTTGAAAATGCATGATAACGTTGAAGATGAATTGAACTATTAGTCTTGTTTTTATGAATTTTTCTTTTAAACAATCGTAAAGTGTGATTCCACCCCATCATTGAGGTTGCACAGCTCTCTGAGCTCTCCGGCAGCCGTCTGTTGGAGATTTGCTGCTGTGCTTGGATCCTTGTCCTGCTGATGACCCAGTTTGGTCCCAGCTTTAGCTGTGGGACAGACGTAAAAGTGACAAAAGTAAAGCACACACTGTTTTTACTGCAACATTTTTATTTTGTTCCAACACACACAGTAAAACTCTGTGACGGCGACCCGAGCTCGGGATCATCCTTCAAACTGTAAGTGACACAATGCACAATAATGGCACCAATGACGTACGAGTTCGACTGGACACACACTAAGCAAGAAAGAACTGTAGAAGAGTTTCAGTGCTGGGCTTCACAAAACTGTCTGCAAGTTCTGTCAGTTTTTAAAAATCTTTTTTTGACAGTCATACCAAAGTGCATTTCTCAGACCCCAAATGCATCCTCCACGTCCACATCACGCTTCTAAACGCTGAGGCTTAAGAAACGGCGCCGGCGAGAATTCAGCTCCGAGCTCAGAGAAAGATGATTCACATTTACAACAACTTTTAAAAAACAAACTTCTAAAGCAACATCTCCACAAGAATAACTTTGCAATGACGAGTAGAAACAGAATAGTTAAGCGGTAGTAGTAGTATGTACAGTACATCTGATATCTAAGAGTGACATGGAAACTATTTCAGATCGAGCGGCGACTGAACCGAAGTACCCAACCGTCGAGGATCTGAGACGGCTGACAGGTAAAGACTTCAGGTGTGGTAAGCACAAGGCCACAAAGATGAATCATTTCACAAGTGGCCAGTGGCCTTTTTAAACATTCATTAATTACTGAAATATTTGCACAAACTTAATGCAAGGTGTCGTCAAAATAAAAATCTGTACTTCAGCATTAAGTGAGAGTTACCTGGTTTAGTATTCATTATGGGAATAACTAGCAAAGCAATTTAAAAGCTTTGCTCGATGTGCCAAAATGTAATTATTATGGGAAAAAAACTAAAATTCAGTTCGGTATGAAATCAAATTGAATTTTGATTTCATTCATCTGAAATGTGCTCCACTTTTCCCACCACGTATGTTGCAGTACACTTTCTAAAATACATTTTGATTGTAGACTGTAGGAAGTGCAGAGTTTGGGTTATACATTTTATAAGCTTGATGAAATTTTTTAGCATTTTACCAAATCTTTTATTTGGATTGTTCAACCAGCTTTTGTGATTCATTCCAAAGTCATAGCTATTCCAAATGATTATACTCCCCGTCCCCCAGAGTTGAGCTCTTATTTTGACGACACCCTGTATGTCCTGAATCGAGTGTAAAACTTTGGGTTCATTGAAGTCGACCACTCATCTGCTCAGTAGACATTCTCTACAATCATTGAGGAATGATGGAAATGTGAATATTCTTCTGCCCTTCATGTGAAATACTCAGTAGAAAGATGAACAATGAAAACTAAATCGCTGAATAGAATCTGATCTAACTAGCAGACACTGATGCTTCAATACTTTTCTGTACAGATCGAATTTGATGAGTCGGTCTCAGCCATTCGCAAACCGACACCAGGGGCCCAAAACCAGCAAAAACCTGAACTGTGGTGTTTTTTATTAAATGTCCGTGCTCACTGGTTTTCTTATAATGCCCGAAAAATCCTTTCAAAATGTTAAACTGTGGCAAAAACAAAACCCAACAAAATGCATTTTAGTGAAACGCACATGTTTAAAATACTTTTAGTCTAATACATACTAGACTGTAGTATGTGACATGGTAAAAAGGTAGGAAATACTACATAAAATGTTAATGATTAAATTTGGGGTGCTTTACTCATTGAAAACACAACAAAAAATCTGTAATTAAAGTTAAAATAGAAAAGCTTAGAGTTCAAAATGAACGAAAAAACAAACCGTTGTGAAGGAAGTTTCTTTTAAACTTTCAATGATACTTACAGGATGCGTACATTCTGTTTTGTTGCACTACAAACGCTGGATCACACGTGATGTCCAGTGAAATGTACGCTAAACGTTTATCGGTGTAGTGCTTCTTTATAGGAAGTCACTGTGGGCATATATAAGAAAACCACTGACTGCATCGGGACATTGAAATGCAGATATTTTTGTAACTTATGTCTTTATACTTTCTAGTCCAGATTCAAAGGTATAATTTGTACTTGTGTAATAACTGACTGCACTTCTAGACGGTGAAAAATCTATTTATGTGGGACCCAGAAGAGCTCTGCTGATATGCTGAGCAGATATGTTTCCGTGACTTCGGGCCAGTAACGGGGAAACTTGAGAGATTCTGTCTCCGATGTCCATGCTGTCGGATACGGTCCTTTTTCTCTGCCAGCCCGATCGGACAGTCCAAAGCTCTACAGTAGTCCTAACGTTAATCTACAGCTCCAAGCATGGTGACTGCGTGCTGATCGCCCACGGTGGGAAGCAGCAGCAAAATGCTTCCCTTCTTGTTCAGTAGCTCAGAGGCCTCAGTGCAAATACAAACTACAGCTCTACAACCACAGTCTCTAGCTTCTAAACTGGCCTCAAACACGCCAAGCGGCGACGGATGGCAACCGTGGGGACGGCGTTCCCCTCGACTCGTTTGTGCCCTCTTGTTGTACAGACCTAGCAAACATTCACACCGCTAGGGTTGATCACGATAAAGTTCGGATAGTGTTATGATGATGATATTTTTCTGCCGTAATTTGGAGCAGAAATCTGAAAAGTTCCTCATTTTTCACTTCTGAAGTTTGGCATATGCAGCCATGATGGAAAGATGATGTAAGTGTCTCCAAACATCCGATTTGTGCTCATCTTGGGTTCGCTCTTTAGTGAATGTTTGCTGGGTTCTTCCTGTGTAGCAGTCCTGGCAGTTAATCAGCGAGCTCGAGCCATTGGGGTTTTTAATTATCGACGTGTGCGGTAGGTGTGGCAGTGCGTAACGATGAAATCTACCGCCGCCGACTCCTACGCCCCAAAAAGCCAGGAAAGCTGCACCGTGCAAGACGACGGGCAAAACAAAACCTGAACCTAAAACAAAGGTTTGAAGGGGAGAAAGAGGCCAGTGTGCTTGCTGGTTTTACAGCGACTCCTGAGATTAAAAACATAAATAAAAATGAAAAACCACTGACTCCGTTCCACCGACTCGTTGCCTTAACAGACGCAGCTTGTCAACGCTCCTCCGAGCCCACGTTGGTGTGAGTCAGTCCAGTTCAGAGGGCAGGGCTGTGGTTGAACATGTTGGTCAGTCAGTGAAGGCTCCTTAAGGCAAAACTCCATCCCATGCTTTAACACCAATTCAAAGAAAGAGACTGATAATAGTTTTCTCTCGCCCAGATGTTCTATGTTGTGTTTTTTTTTGTTTTTGATACTGATGATGAAGCGAGTCTTCTTCTGCAGAGAATGGATGCCTGAAGCACAGGAGGTTGGGGTGTGTTCACAGCCTGCAAGACAAGCAGAAGGGTTTAAGCACAAAGGGGGGATCAACAAGAAGATGATGGATGCAGAGGTAAATTCAATTTAAATTTAAGGTCAAACTTTTTTTTTTTTTTATCACAGATTAGTTTCTGAGGTAGACAGCTATCAGACCATGGCATTTATATTTATACACTTAAAAAAAACTTTTCTTCATAACAGACTTTAGGGTTGGCTTGACTCAGACCTGACAGGGTTCACTGAAACTAGTCCAAGATATTTAACCACTTCCTCTAGAAAGTTGTTGCTAATCATCATTGGTAGCAATGAAGATTAGCAGGGTTCTCTCCGGGTACCCCAGCTTCCACCCACAGTCCAAAGACATGTGACCTGTCCAGGGTAAACCCCGCCTCTCGCCCTAGGATAGCTGGAAAAGGGTCTAGCCCCCGCGACAAAGATGAGGATGGATGGATGCTCTAAATCATTTTCTATACCGTGAATAACCATAAAGCATGTCGCGAATCGGGACGAGCCCTGATACTTCGGGTTGGACTCACGTCTGGAGGTGTCCTCATTATGTCTTGCTGGCATTCTCGTAGATGACGTCCGAGGTGATGGACTGCTGCTTTTTCTTCTGCCACATTAGCATGACGCACTGATGGATGAACACGTACTGCTCCTGCAGACAACAAACACGTTTGAACTAATCGTCCACCCTTTGATACTCACGATCACAAATTCAGGTCATTGAGGACACGTTGGCACAATCCAGTTGACGGTTTCTAAAGTGTGGACACTTAATGACTTCTTCAAGTAACTGTCTTATTTATACATGTATGTGTTGGTGTGATGTGCCAGTGTCTGACCTCAGTCTGAACCATCGACAGGCGATGCGATCGCATTTCCGACACCATACCCAGGATGTCCACGTACTCGTGCTCTCTGATGTGCTGCATCAGGCGATCCAGAGCGATGAAGGTCCCAGTCCTGCCGACTCCAGCACTGACACAGACAGGCGGCATCATTAGAAACCGAATCGCTGCTGTCGCTAGTCCACTAATGGACATCATAATGGCCATTAGATCATCTCTCTAATTGCATTTTTATGGCTCCGACTGTCAGGAAACGAGTCGCCTTCCTGCTCTGAGAAAATCAAACCTGCAGAAATCAAACTCGGATAAATAGATTCCCTCCAAGAAAGAATGAGGACATCTACCCAACCGCTCATAAAACCTGAACGCAAACTGGGACGTTAATGGCAGGTGGGTCAGTTTCCACTAACGGAGAACGGACTCAGTTCTGGTTCTAATACAGAAGCAATATGAAAAAAATGGACCTCATTGGCTACCAGAAAATACCAAGAGGGGGACTTTTTATGTCTCAGTTACAATAGAAAACCATTAAACATCTGTCGAGCACATACCCATCTGTCAGAGTCCACATGGTTCCAAGTATTTCTACCAAAGAAACGCTCCACGGCTCTAAAAGTTTTAAGTGACATCTAAGGAAGTTGGTGGATTGAGGGTTTTAGGAAAACCCATGAAATACAAGATGATGGAGTTTGAATGTGACAGATTTACACAATTTTTAAAATACCAGGGAGTCTAAATGATCCAGTCCGTGGTTCTAGTGTTAAGATGGCTACACAGCTCCACAGATTACTGGTCCTGAAGTTAGAAACACTGAGATCAGGGAAGGGCAACAGAAAGAACCTCTTCAATGATTCACACATTCCCACAAACCACCATTTTCTTCCTTTTAAATAACCCCAATTTTTTTGCCACATCACTAATTCTTGCGCTTACTGGTTACAGGCGCTAGGACCTGTGTTCGGTTTTTTACTTGATCCAATTCCATCGAGGATCCTAGAATCTTTGCAACCATCCAGAAAATCCAGCCCATGTTTGTAGAACCATTAATAGTGACATATATTGTGCACTAATGTTTTATTTTGAAGACATTTGCGCATTGCTTCTCTGTTTAAATAATCAGACTGCACCACCACTGGGTACGCCGTTTCATTTTATTTCATTTAATGAGCAGGAATGACGAAAAGTTTCAATAATGGTGATTTATTTTAGATTTTCCATGTATCCACCAGAGGACGCTAGCAGATGAGTCACAGCAAGATAAAATATCTGCAGATGTTTTTAAGGAGTGGCCTTACCTGCAGTGGACGATGATAGGGTCTTTGGTCCTGTTGGCCTGCTGGCGGACAATATGGACGAACTGCAGGATGCTCTCGATGGCATTTACCGTGGGGACGCCGTGATCCGGCCACGAGGTGTAGTTCAGGTGGAGGACGTCCTGACTCTCATCAGCCTGCAGGTGGCAGTAACAGTTCACGTTCGATAAATGCACTAACTGGACGCTTTTGTCAGTAGCCGTTTGGAAGTCAAAGAAACTCACATATCCAAGTCTGAACTTCCTGATGATCCACTCTGGAGACTCGCTTTCAGATAGCAACTCTACACTGACCTCACCGTACATCACAGGGTCCTCATTGAAGGGCCAGTAATGATCACACTTCACCTGAAAACATGAAGAAAATTACGGCCACAGTTAACAATGACCACCAGAGGGCAGAATTGCGCAACCTCTGTCATTTTACTCCCACACTAATTTTTTTTAAAGAAATTTTCGTCTTCAGATTCCCCCCCAAACACAAAATATTTGTGTGTATGTATTTTCCCCTTATTTATACAAATTTAGAAATATGACATTAAAAACTTCATTATGCAAATAAAAAACCCAACATCTTATTTGTTTTTATTCTTCTAATTAAAAAAGAATCATTTTCTGATCTGATGAAAAGTGAAGATGGTGATACTGTGCTGAACCGTAGGTGGATATGTGTAATGTGACTGTCTGTTGATTGTGTTAATCACATTACTTGTGCTCAGTCTGAATAAAACACCAATAAATAAATACCAAAAAAGCAGAATCCTTCGAAAACCATTTTTAGGAAGTATTTGCTACTACAAATTTTCTTCAAAACATTATTTATTAATCAATCTTTTAATACTTATTCTAATGAGTCATCTTTACGTGTCTGTCTATTTTTACGTGTCTGTTATTTTTTGGATTTAAGTATAAAATTTAAAGCGGCTTGAAACCTCCAGATTTTCCACTTACAAAGAGTTAAACTGATTAAACCTAAAGTCTCACCCGGCGCCGTTCGCTGCACTGTGTGAGCATGACGATGATCGGGGATTTTTGCTGCAAAACCATCTTCCAGAAGTCATTGCGGGTCTCAGGCAGCGGACCCTGCGTGGCGATGTACTCTTTATTGTGTCTGTAGCCCTGGAATTCAAACACAATCACAGCTTTACAGAAGAAAAAAGTAATTCATGCAAAACATGGACTATAAAAGAGATGAAAAACAAATGGATACTAATTCCTCACGTTTGTGTTGTGGATGTACTCACGGGTATGTAATTGGCGTTGATGTAGTCTGAACCTTCATCATTGTGCATCGAGATCAGCTTCACCCGACTGAAGTCATCTTAGAGCAGATTTTCTCTCGTTAGTCCCAAGATAAACTACAGGTCGTCACCAAACAGTAAAACTTGCCCTCGTACTCCGAGGAACACGAGCACAAACGCTCACGTGACTTTAGAATCAGAAAAAATGAAAGCTCTCCATTTCTATAAAGGCACTTAATAATGGCATCTTCACTGTAGTGGTGTGCGCTGGTTTCAGAATACAACTCTGACGAGCTGGATTTTTCAGTCAGAGAAAAAGCTCCATTTTACACATTTATTACAAACCGTCTAATGAAAGTAAATTTTCTCTGGGCAATAAATCAGTAAAAGTGGAGGCTCACGGTTGATTTTATGGTTTCCCCATGATCAGCGGGTTGCTTTCAGTCCGGCCCCACCTTCCTCTTTGTTCTGATGATCTTGTGTATTTTTTTTTTAATAAATCTAGATATATACATGTTAGTGCAGACTCACAGGGGAGGATGTTGGTGTATCTGTTCTTGGGCCTGTTGATGGGAAGGTCAGCAGCATCATGGGAAAGATCCAAACCGATGCTCTTTAGATCCTGGAAAAAAAAAACATCAGTACTAAAATGAAGGATGAGGATCATTTAAATCTGAGTCAGATTTTAAAATTAAAATGCTCTTAACCCTTTAAGACCTACCATAGAACCAAGTCCGCCAGAGCTTATATTATATTTTTACATGCTGTAGTGCCATTTTTGGGAGCATTTCAAGTTGCTATACATCAATACAAC